GGGTGGGGCGTGTGCGCTGTGCGCGGCCGAGCGAGGCTGACGTGCCCGCCGGAGCGCGCGCCCGGGCGAGTGTGTGTGTGCGGGAGTGTGTGCGCACACGCCTCCGGGGGCTGGAGTGACACTGCAGTGGGTTTCTCCCTCGCGCCGGCCCTCCGGCTGCTCAGCCCCCCACCTGCCGCCACCGCGTTTGGGAAGCAGCGTGGCTCTTTTATCTTCCTGAGCCTCCCTCTCCATCCACCTCTCCCCAGTCTTACTTTTCCTTTCACCCAGGGGGCTGCAGCTGGCCACCCCTCAACCGGTGCCAACACCTAAGCCGTTTCCAGTCTCTCCTTAGCCAGTCTTTTCCACTTATCCTTCTCTGGGGTTCCTCCACGAGCCAGTCCAAGGCTCCCCCATCCTTGGAAATTGTTTTGTTGGACTGCTGTACCGAGGCGTGTAAAGCTTGAGGACTTTATTATTATTTTGATTCTTTTCATTTCCTCCCCTCTGGGCAACGGAGCAATGAAATTTCCAATCGAGACTCCAAGAAAACAGGTGAACTGGGATCCTAAAGGTTGGTATTTCCTACTTTTGGCGGCCCTCGCCCTGCCTCCATCTCCGGCGTGCGCGCGCTTCCGTGAGTGGAAGCACTCTTGCTCCCGGCAGCGTGTGTCCTGAGGCTGGAAAATGCGCCTGGGAGCCGCAGCGCGGGTGGGAGGAGGGCGGAGGCAGCGGGGGTTCCAAACCCAGATAGTGCCTGTCATTACCACATAATCATTGTCCCTCCTGGATTGTTTCAAAAACCTAAAGATACACCAAGCCGGCTGTTTGGCTTGAAATCACACCAAGTGTCGGTATTTGCTTTTGACTTTATGTGTGCGAGTGTGTGTGTTTGTGTGTGTGTGGTGTATGTGTGTGTGTCCTTTGTTTCTGGTGATCTTTGTCTCTCTGGCAGATGGGTGGGGTGCCTCCCCCTGGACCTGGAGCTGCGCCGCCTGCCCAGGGTGTCCTCAGTGGGAAAGGTTTCCTGGCAGCAAGTGGGGCTTGGATCTGCAGCAACCGTCCCTGGAGGTGGCCCTTCTCGGAGGGCATATGGAATAATGGAGCCCGGGGGGCCTTTGGAGTCTTCCCTCAATCTTATTACCAAACCAGGCAGCTAATTTGGCTCGGATCGGAGTAGAAGTGGGAGGGGGGAAGGGTTTGCGAGAAGGGTGGGGCTGCCAAGGGCTGGGGAGGGGGCACGGAGTGTGTCCTCCTGAGCAGTAGTGTGGTTTACACGCTCTGATGCATGTTGGACAGTGTTCCCTCAGCGCAAAAGAGAGCGACTAAGACAGATTTGTGTGTGCCTAGCGTTGACCACCGTGTCTGTAATTAGCATACAGATGTTAAGGCCCCTCCTGAGTGATTGGTGTGGGAGCAGAACAAGTTGAAACCAAGTGTCCAGTTTTGACAAGAATGCGCTTTATCATTTCTCTCAGCTCCTCTGAAGCTGGGTCGGGCTAGGCAACACCTCTGTGTGTATTGGGTTGAAATTGGTTTATGTGATGTGTGCAGGTATGTTTAATGCTTTTTTACGAGTGCATTTATTCTTTTCTCCAGACCAGAAAAGAGGAAACCCACTTATTTGTTGAGTGAATGTCTTATAAATTGACTGGCTGTTATAGAATGAGGGAAGATGTGTTGCCTGTTTCAACACTGAAGCTGTTACACCTTAATACAACCCAAACCCAGTCCAGTTTTGTCTGTTGATCTCTGGAAAGTGTGCCTTGGTTTATTTTATTTTATTTTGTTTTGTTTTATTTTTTGATCCCTGTAAAATGTATTTATTGAATACCTACTACTTACCAAATGCTGTCCCTGGAGATATAGTCAGAATAGTACAGACAAAGCCTTCTTGGAGTTTATAGTGAGGGAGGCAGACCTAAATCAATCAATGCACAGAAGAGTGCATAATTACATGTTTATGTATGCTCCATGAAGGAGAGCATCAGGATTTTAAGAAAGGGATAGATTGACAAGGATCAGGGAGGGTGGGTAGTCAGGGAAGGTAGTCAGACACTTGTACTGAGACCTGGAAGATATGTAGCGATTAATTGGCTACTGAGGAGGTGAACTGACCTAGAAGAGGAAACAGCAAGTGCAAAGGCCCTGAGGTAGAGGGGACATGTGTATTTGAGGAACTGAAAGGCAGTTTGCATGGCTAGAGCGAACAGCAAGGGAGAGTGTGTTTTGAGGTGTGGCCGGTGGATCCATAGGGTCAGACCCCAGAGCCTTGTGTTGTTGCAGGTAGGGTGGGGCTTTGGGGTGGGGGCAGGAGTGTTGCCTTTATCTTAAGCCACTGAAAGGTTTCAAGCTGAGGAGAGACATGATCTGAACTGAGTTTCAAAACAAATGCTGTGTGGCTCTTGTGGATGTGAGGGACCAGATGCCATGGTGACTGGACCAGGGTGGTGGGTATGGGATGGAGAAGTGGGTGGGGTAGGGAGCTATGGAGGGCAGAAAATCAACAGGTTTTGTGTAAACAGAGTGTGGACATAGAGTCACTGGAATGACTGGGAAGGCAGCTGGGGCAGGACCAGTCTTGTGGGAAAGCTCATGAGTTCAGTCCAGGGCTTGTTGAGGGGGGGATGTCCTGAGCCATCCGAGAGGTGTGTCAAGAGGGGAGTTGTCTAAAAAGTCATACTGGGATCTTCAAGGAACTCTGGTCAGGATGGAGGGCGGTGAAGCTTGCCTTGGCTTTGAGAATACGTTTCTATATGATCATCATTGTATATATTTATATCACAGTGCTAAACACAGATGAATCCAACATTTTACAGCTTGACACAGAAAGCAGTACGCAAGTAGCGTCTCCAGTCACAACTGATGGTGCTAAAAATGAAAAGACTCTGATAAAAATACCAACATTTAATGAGAAATCTTTGCATGCCAGGTGTTTTATGCACATTATTTCATATAGTTATTCTCATAATACTTATCCAGTGATATCAGTGCTTTGTCCCCACTTGATTGGCATCAGGATACCACTGAGCTACCTTCCAGTAAGATGCTCTGACTTCATGTACAATTGTTCTTGTGGGTGGGGGTGACAGTAGTCTTTTCTAGCCAGGGGGTGGAGGCAGGAGAGGGGTCAGGAGTGAGGGTGGCATGTCTCACATCTTATAGAACTATGTGTCAGGTGCTGTGAAGTGCTTTACATACATTAAAAAGTAAACAATTTATTATTAACTAATTACAATTTAACTAGAAGAATAAATTATTTAGTCTTCTTTATTTAATCTTAGGAGGAAGATGCTGTCCTAATTTTACAGGTGAGGGAACTAAAGAACAGAGAGGTTGAGTAACTTACCCAGGGTCACACAGCTAGTAGATGGTGGGGTTAGACTAGAACAGGGGTCCTTATACATTCTTTGAGTCTATCTCTGAAGTCTATCTCTTAAATTATTGGGACCTCTGGCTCTTGCCTGGTGAGGCTTGCAGAGCTCAAGGACTGGGGAAGCTCATTGCAAGGAGAAAGAAAACAATAAAAAGGAGTTGGGAGGGGCAAGGGAGGGAAGATTGAAAGAGGAGAAGGAGGAAGAGGAAGAAGAATGCCTTTTCTACTCATTCCTTTCTCCATTAACCCATCTGGCCAAACAGCATCTCTGCCTCTACCTCTGGTGGGCCCATCACTGGCTACTGGACAGACTTTGGGTCTGTTCTTTGGAGGTTTGGGTTTACACAGACAGACCAAGTATGTTTAGCAGGGCAGAGATGACGGGGAACCTAACATTGGAATAGAAAAGGGGAGAGACAGTTCTATGGACTGTAGGATTTGAGTATTAACAGACTTGAACCTTCAGGTGGAGATGCTCACAGATTGTGGAAGGAAGTTGTAATTATGATGTTTTGCTCACAGTCCCATTACCTGACAATTTAATAGCACAGAATGAAGGTGGATTGAGAGCAGATTGGTTTTGATTGCACTTGCGTGAATTAAGCAAAGCACTGTCAAGAGGTTTAGGTGCAAAAATAAGACCTAAATATAAAATGATTATTCTCTGGTGAGCTATGGCCTTCCTCCATATTTGTAAAGCTGAGCCTACAACAAATAGAGTAACTGCTTTTGTAGGACCAACAGAAAAGTAGGCTGGCACTGAGTCTTGGCTTTCATGTGCATTTTACATCGCTGGGGTCACTTGTGGATGATTTTTTGCTGAAAACTGGGATTGGTTTGCTGCTTTTGGGTATCTTAAGGGCTTTTAAAGATTTTATTTATTTATTTGAAAGAGAGAGAGAAGGATGAGGAGGAGGAGGAGAGGGAGAGGGACAAGTGGACTCTGCGCTGAGCGTGGAGCCCAACTCGGCATTAGAGCCCATGATCCTGAGATCATGACCTGAGCCAAAATCAAGAGTTGGATGCTCAACCAACTGAGCCACCCAGGCGCCCCTCTTAAGGGCTTTTAAAAATCAGTAAGATCAGCAAACGATATTGCCACACCTCAAGTCAAGCAGATCAATATGGTATAGAAAACTCTGGATTTGGGGGCAAAAGAATTAGTTTCTAGAATGAGCCATAGCTATCATTAGCCGTGTGACTTTGGGCAGCCCATTTAACCTCTGGGTTTCACCCTCCTCCTGTGTGCAAAGGGGCCATTGACATGGCCTCTCTGACCCTATCTCTCCAACCTCTTTCTTGATTTGACCTCCGGGCTTCTTGTCTTCCTTTTGTTCCTCAGGTAGATCAAACTTGTTCCTGTCTCAGAGACTTACACTTGTGCTTTCCACTACTTACAATGTGTGTTCACATGGCTGGCTCCTTTCCACCTTTGAATCTCACTCAGATGTCACCTTTTTAGTAAGGGCTTCCCTGTCCCATCTGAAGACCTCTCTTCTTGTTCCCCAGCCCTGTCACTTTCTATTATGTCACCTGCTCAGTTGTCTTCCTGGTACTTGTCATCATCTGAAAGCATCTTACTCATGTGTCTCAGATGATGCCAGCCTCCCTTGCTAACATGTGAGCTTTATGAATGGAATTTCCTGTCTCATTGACTGTTATGTCCTCAGTGACCCCAGGAAGAGCCTGGAACGTAGTAGGCATTCAGTAACTTTTGCTGAATGGATGGATGGGTGGGGGATTGGAATAGAGAGGATCTCTAAGTCTTCACGTATGAAGGAAATTCCAGGACTCCTCCATGCTACAAAGGGCAAAGTACAACTATGGAAAAAGGAAGGATATCCCTAAATAATGGGGTATCGGAAGGGATGCGGGTATTCCCTCTGCTTGCAAGCTCCCATTTCTCTGAAGTCTCCAACAGACTTTTCCTTCTGTTCTCCCTTTCACCAGGAGTGAAAAGGCTGGGGGGGTGGCGCGGGGAGATAGGGGCTGGGGCAGGAAGGCCATGTAGCCTGACAAAGATATGGTTGGTGTCCAATTAGTAATTTGGCTCATGTTGGCCATTGACACGTAGCTCTTTTTAGGTATTTAAATCTACTTAACGAAGAAGCAAAGCTTCAGAGCTGGAGCTGTTTTTTTTTTTTTTTTAAAGCTGCCTTTTCAGTGCATACTTAAATGCAAAATTCCAGAGAGGCTTA